TCTCTCAAAAAACGATAGCGAACGCGTTCACCCGCTCACCGCTCCCCGCTCCCCGCTCGCCACTCGTCTCTCATCGATCGATGCGTGACTCCACCTCTCGCTATCGATTTTTCAGAGATGTCAACAAACACACCATTTTGCATGCTGCCGAGTCCGGCCTTATTGGCTCAGACGTTTTTCTGAATTAGGCCGATAATAATTACGATTTTGTAAAATTTTATATAACTTTTCTTCTCAGTTTAACCCAATCTACTATAATCTTTGGGGTCGTCCATATCGAATCTGACACCCTGTATATTGTTACGCCCGTGCTCGGATGCGACGCCCTGGGAGTGCGCGCCAGCCGCGGGCTGAAGTCGCGGCGGTTTAAAAGATCGGTCGCGAAGGACCGATGCGCGGTTGTTGATTATTGATTTTGTGATTCTGTCTCTGGGCTCTTGGAGAGTACAGACGTGTGTTCTTTACTAAATAAAGTTCCCTTGTTGATTTCCAATCTTTATTGATTTCTTCGCGGCCCGGTGGCGTGCGCCGCGAGCGGAAGTCGAGCCGACGAGTGCGCGAGTGCGCGAGGTGTTGTGTGGACGGCGGAGCCGGACGCAACAATATGTATAATGACGTATATATAATTATTATACACATCACATATAATTATTTATTTCTGTTCACTATATGCTCACCAGATTGTTGCGATTGATAGCATTATCAACTAGAGATTTTTCTAATTTGTCCAAAGTTGCTAGATCATCGATTGGAAAGATTTCTAATACATTATTTGTATTATTTTCATTATGTACTTCCCCAAGAAAGGTGTTCTCAAGTCGATGTAATATTAAATCTAATTTTCGATCTAATTGTCTGCATTGTTCTTCCTGTGAGGATATCTTGAATCCTATATCCGTCAATTTTCTCTCTATATACCTTTGAAACTGACAGTCTGCTATAGTAATAAAGCAAAATGAATACACAAAGTAACATTAATTCCTAGATAAACCTAAATTAACATAAATGATTTTGTAGCACTTACAGGATTTAATAACGTCTTTAGTGGTATTAACTTTGTCTTTATTAGTTGTCTCGATTTCATCAAATGTGCTATCATAAAAATTATCTTCTCTTGTTGCTAGTAAAAAAAAGAGAATAATCAATATTTATGTGTGTTTCGGAAGATATTAATATAATATTTTTTTGTAAATTATTTTGACGGCATACCAGTAAAAATATTATTCAAACATAATTGTCTACATTGTACAAAAAATAAATATTTTTATTCTTACTTATGCACTGTTGCTTACGCTGAACATCAATGCTTTTATCGTTACTGGTATGAAGTTTGCATTTTTGTATTTGCTGAATCTTGGGCAACGACGGCAATATAACATTCTCATTCTCTCTGTCAGTGTCAGTATCATCCGTATCTGATATAATCTTTTTAGCTCTGTTTTTCTTATGATCTAATTTTTTTGGTTTCGAGAGGTTTCCTTTTTCTATTTTTGTCTCTTTTTGCATAGTTTTTTCTTTAGTTGCTGCAATATAAATGGAAATTAATTATATTCAAACATAATTGTATACATTGTACAAAAAATAAATATTTTTATTCTTACTTATGTACTGTTGCTTACGCTGAACATCGATGCTTTTATCGTTACTGGTATTAAGTTTGCATTTTTGTATTTGCTGAATCTTGGGCCACGGCGGCAATATAATATTCTCATTCTCTCTGTCAGTGTCAATATCATCCGTATCTGACATAATCTTTTTAGCTCTGTGTTTCCGAGATTTTTTCAACTCTTCGGGATCATTATTATCTGAATTGATGTCCGACATGAACTCTGCTTGTTTTAATTTTTGTATCGCTTTATCATATGTATCTAAAAGCAAAAGATTTTATTTATTTAGATTTTATTAAAACAAGAAATAAATATATTTTTAACCTATCATGCCGTTTTCATAATTATTTTAAGTATATTCGTGTAATATACTTACTCGCAGTTGCTAGAACTTTTAGAACTGTACATAAAGTCCAATTATCTTCAGGAAATAAGCAATTTTTTACCGCTTTCTTAAATTTTGCCTGCTAGTTAAATTACGGCCAACAAGCACTAGTTTTATTTTCATTAAGCCAACAAGAAGGAATCATCTCCAATCCATCTGCAAACTCCACGATTGACCACGATCCTTCCACGGAAGTAGTTTGATTGCACATGGTATTAACCTTTAAGATTATATGTATATTGTTCATTTTGAATACAGAGTAATATAACAACAATAAAATATATATCGTCGCTGCTTGGTAAAAAACAGCCTATATAAATATTTTTATTATTTCATAATATTTATGTTATCATATTCAGAATTCAATTTTACAGATACATAATGTAAATATCTCAAATTTATTTAAAAAATGTGCACACGGCAACAACAATATAACCGTTTTAATTTTTTTTGAAGGGGGAAGTGTAACGTGCCATCAGCTTAATGGGCCAGAGCACAGACTTTTGGAGAATGCATAATGCATATGCATAAGGAATTTGATTGGTTCATTAGCACATACATAAGGAAATATAGACTATTATAGACAAATCAAATTCCTTATGTATGCGCTAAGAGCCTATCCAGACAAACTTACATACGAGGGGGATTCAAATGGAAACCTTAAAAGTGCAATAATTTTTTTATTGTAACAATTAGGAACAACTTATGCATATCATTTTTCTACATAGTCTCCCTGACGTTCAATACAAGTTTTCCAACGCTTTGGAAGTGCATAGATACCACGTTGAAAGAAATCTTTTGGTCGTGTCTGTGGCCAGTCGTGCACCGCGGTTTTCATCTCTTTGTCACTTCGGAAATGCTTACTTCCCATTGCTTCTTTGAGTACGCCGAACACACGAAAGTCACTAGGAGCGAGGTCTGCTGAATAAGGTGGATGAATAAGACATTCAAATTTGAT